CTATTGTATCACTGGTAATAGAAGGCATTGGGGAATGGCCAGCTCTTCCGTCTGCCCTCTATCCTCTTCGCGGTGAGATGCCTATTTGGAGAGACGCAGAGAAAACGACAAAAACGCTGAGTCACTTCATACGCGGTTGACAACGGTCCTGTAACCGTTACAGCCTGCCTCGGGGACATATTCTATGTCGATTTGGGTTTTTGTGTTCGAAAGGCTGCCTGTTAGAAACAATGCCTCATTAGTGCATGGCGCAACCCCTGTTTCAGTTTCCTGCAGCTGGGTGTGAGTGTCTGCTACATCCTTACTTATGCTAGCATCCCTGTATTGGATATACCCTAGACCGGCAAGAACTTAGACCTGGTACTGACAATTAACAAGAACTACTTAAAGCAGCGCTTATTGCCACATCACATTACTCGAACTAGGGTTAAAAATTCGCTGCTGTCTCACTGGAAATATAAATGAGCAGAGAGGCTTTCCTATAATCATCAAAGGAAGGCATACCTACAGTACCTCAATTACCCCTGCTAGGAAAATGCAGCACTAAGTGAACATCTGCGCCTTCAACTAGCCACTAAAACCGAAAGATTTTGCGATATAAGTTGGTCCTACAACAAAAGTATATCAAAGGAATCTGCCATTGTAGCGCTGGCAAAATAACATTAACGTAACATTTATAGCCTCTACAAAAAGTAAACAAACCATTAACATTCGGCAAAACAATACTTGTTAAAGATCAACAGACTACACGTATCAAAAGGGACAGAAGGAGCAGTGAACCATCAAGAATTTTAAAAAAANAAAAAAATAATAATAAAAAAAGGGGATAAAGACGAAAACATGGTGACAAAAAACATGTCATACAGACCCAATTGGATTTCGTTCCAACAGGAAGAACTCTTAAACAAACATTGTACCATCACAGAACAACAAAAAATACTTTACACTTAAACAAAGCTACCTGCACTAGGAGCTGATCTCTGTAAAACCGTTCTTATCGCAGAGCAACGAAATAAAAGAAACCATGAAAAGGATCACTAAAACGCAGCAGCATTTCTATGCTGCCTACCACGATAAAATAAGTAAAACAAACGAGGAAGGCCCTACCATGACAGTAAGTCAGGCTGTTTTCAGTAAAACTATCATTTAATACAAAATCGGTTTAGAACGGACTCAAGATAAAACATCACAAAAAGTTTCTAGAAGAATGATAATGAAATTGGGCGCTAGTAGATCGCATAGAGGGTTCTGTGATTGGTGTCGAACTAAAAAGGCAGGAATATTAGGAAAATTTTGTATATCACACAAATATCCCTTGATAGGAAGACCAAAAAAGCGAAATGCAAACAAAATGAAAAGGGGAATAAACGATGAAAGGGTTGTAGATGAGAGATGTAAGGTGAAAGTTCGAAACGTTTCAAACAATTCACGACTATAGTTCGACCTCATCATCATCTAGGATAACGAAGCAATCCTCCCCGAGTTCTTCGTCTTCTGGCGCATTCGTGACTTGCCCTGCCTAAATAAAAGATTATTCTTCGGAAGAGTGTTACACTTAAATTACACCAGCAAAATTCTATATAGTGTTGCAACTCCACAAATAATAAAGAATTCCTACCGAAGAGACCCCGTTTGTTTTGTGCCCGTTGATTTGCTCTTGCCGCTGGCGTTTCGGAGGCGTCGAAGTTTGCAGCGAACTGTTGAGGGATGAGCGTTTGGAAGTCTAAAACTTGATGGTTTGTACACCATAGACGGATTCGATTTCGTTCGATAGAGATATCAAAACTCACCAACTTTTTTGTATCGGGCCTTTTGTGAGATGAGGCAGAGCTGCGAATACCAGCAGCAATGGCGGCTCTATAAGCACGTTTTTCTTCCTGGAAGTTGAAAATATGCGTTTGACGTATCAGGTAGGTGGATATCACAATATGTTTTACCTCGAGCGCAGCTAGACGTTTCGCTCTGAGGCTGTCCCTTCGCTGCCGTAATCTACGGTTAACGACGCCATCATTTGAATCATCCTAGAATTGCAGTTCAAATAATTATAATACAATACTCTAAAAGAATAAAGTTGAGTGAAATGCAGCTTTCTTGTGATACAATTAAAAGTAGTAAACCCTATCCGCACTCTAATCACCTCGTTGTTTTCGTTTTCTTCGTCCTCGCTACTGTTGTCACAACAGTCGGCGCAATGCCACTCGCAGTTGACCTTGATGGAAAATGTTTGCATGGAAGGTAAACAAAAGAAATGAAAGAAAGAAATGAGAATGCGCTGAAGAATATCGGAGAAACCTCACTTTCTTGGGAACTTTCTCAAGAGGCGGATCAAGACAGCCAATGTGATAGTATTCGTAGCATGAGTCACAGGCGATCATCAAATGCTGATCACTTGCCTAGACAAGAAAACTCGAGGCGAATATAAAACAACAAGTAAATTTGAGATGTCCAATAGCGGCTCCTAACGAAATCATCGATTAGCAAAAGTTGATTAAGGAACATGAATGTGAGGCCTGAGTTGTTTCGGAGCGTAGAATAAAAATTTTAAGCAAAGACACCGTTAAGGGAAGACAAAAAGGCAGAACAATGCTACTGTATAAATGCAAAACGTTCGCACCGAGCCAGGATTCGAACCTACGCGGGCAGAGCCCAATTGATTTCTAGTCAATCTCCTTAACCACTCGGACATCGGTGCATGAGTGCGGACCGCTGACGTGTCCTTTACAGCATCATACCATCCCCGACTGACCTTCCCGCATTCTTTGCATACTACAATCGACACTTCCTTCTTCAGCTTTGGTGGTGGCGTTCCAGTACTGAGAGTTGGAGAACTCACGGGTCGACTTGGTCTGAATCAAGAAAATAGTTACTTTAGTGGCAAAGAAATCACGAATCCAATAATTACAGGTGAATGTACGACAAAACAAAATGAAATCGGAACGACTGGGAGAGGGAGACTTACGCTTTTCCACCCAGTGTATTTTCATCGGATAATGGACAACGTGCGATGATTTTCTTCGCGCCGAGTCTCATTAGCGCGCTGTGGAAGGCGATCGCCAACTGTTTCCTCTGCTCGCTGCGGACCCTTGTCAGTTCTCCGACCTGTTCGTTCTAAAACAGTTCATTTGTATGAACGAAAAGAGATTATGTTGCCCCTCTCTACTGCCAGAAAACTGATTTTGTTGGAAATAGTTGAAAACTGCAACGATTATTTTATACGACATGAGAGAACTTTTCAAGGGAATGCAGAAGAATTGACAGACGAGCGAAAATCTATCGTTCATCAAATTATAGGATGACACTCTCAAACGATTGACACTTTCTATACCATTTTTCACATATTTACATAGGACCTAGGTAGTTGGCTCTTCAAATGCAATACCACTATCCGAGAGAAGAACTCACCAATTTCAGCTTGGTGACCTGAGCATCGAGCTGTTTCTTCAGTGCAAGCTTGGATTCATTGACTGACCGGAGTTTATCCTCTTCGGCTGCTATCAAGAATCTCTCGCGATGGTCCAGATATCTTCACGGAAATCGTTTCAGTCTAACTCGCATACAGGTGGATTGAGAGCTAAGAAAATCGAACGACCCTCACTCACTCGAAGAACTGGGTCGAAAAGCCGGGAGTAAGAAATGGAATTGTGTCGCCAGTGACTCTCGTGAATTCCTGAAGAAGAAGAACGTTAGACTGATTCAGGCAGAATGGTTCAATCGAACCTTTCTGAACTGCTCTGGTTCGACTCCGCTTATTTCTGCCTTTTCTTGAAACCACTCGAAAAACTCTGGCGAAGTTGTCAGATGGCGTGCACGTCGTACTTTTCTTTCTTGCTTAACAAAAAAGCGCATGGACAGATGGTCTTTTAATCATAGTTCTTTATACCTACTTTATCATGAAATGCCTCCGGTAGACATATCGTGACTCCTATCAGCGACTGGAACTGCTTCTCATATTTTTCTCTAGCTCTCAGTCTTTTACGCTCTTCCCTTTCAGATAGCACATTCTTGCCAACCATCATTAGCCGCCGCTCTTCTTGAGCTAGGAACCGAGCAGCCCTGTAACAACAGCTTTGATATGCCCTTATCACAATTTCTTCGATTCCTACAATTAGATAACAGAAACTGACGCCTGCTTCTTCACTCGCACATCATCAGGATTGGAATGCTGTCGGCAATTGATATAGCGAGGTTCGACTGTGTGGTGGTCACCACGTCGATGTGAACTGCCACCTCCGAAGTGATCAACATCTTCACTGTGATCCACCAACAATCCAAGTCTAAAACATAAACGAATTTTCGAGAAATTACAAGCAAATACGTAGTGATACAAAGATTTCGACGATTTTACCTTTGCGCGCAGGTTACGTGGTAATACTGTTTACACAAACCAAGCTCGCACCGAGTTGTCACACCTAATCGCGCTTCCAACACGTCAGTGCATCCACTGCAACTCTGAAATAAAATTTGTAGTGACACCCACATAGAAATTGTTGAGAACTAGTTAGGCCAACATAACAGCGGCAAAATTAGGTTGAAATAATTTTCGAAGCAAACTCAAGAGCCATCACGTAGGGCTACCATTAATTCTCGAATAAGTTGAAAAATAATAGATTAAACTAACTTTAGACTTTATTAATGGTTCGAAAAGGGCTGGTGCGGCACTGACGTTAATCACTTGGTGATTGCAATTATTGCGAGATTATTGAATTATTTGTTTTTATTAATTTATATTTAGTCGCCCTTGAACAAAAATTGAATTTCTTGATAGCATGCGTAGAGAATAAGTTATGTAATTTTTCTCGACCACTTTCTATGCAGAATTCAAGTTTGGCTATCCATCAAGGGAGGCAGCTGGTAATACCAACGGGTCATTAGGCGTAACAAGTTTCATAGTCTGCGGACCGTAAAAGGAGCTGTGATCACTGCTTTTGGGATTAGAACATAAATACTACATCTTTTACCTCAGAAATCGACAACTACAGGCATGAGGTTTCGAGACATAATTTTCTCGCACCAATCTGACCACCTCATCATTATTATTCACCTGTTAGTACAATTCTTCCTCCCCTGATAGCCCGCCTTCGACTGCTTAAGGCTCATCGTTACCATTAAAGGCACATTCTTCTTGTAAAGCCAGAACGCAGACCGAAATAGAAAGATGGGTCGCCAGATATTCTCGCTATATTACAATCAAGAGCCTAGCAATGTGGCAGCAGAAAACTCGTATCCAAACAGAAGATTGAGTCATGAAAAAAGTTTAATCATATGTTGGGTGAACGCTGCACCTCGCACAAGACCTCAACAGATTTCTTAGAAACTCAGCTGTACACGGAGCTTCCTCTACTGAATTAGTTCTGGACAGAAACACTGATGAATAACTAACTTTACGGCCGAAATTACGGTGATCCATTTCTTGCCAGCTGATGGCACCGAGATGATCGATGTCTCCGAAGGTCACTCCATGCGTGTAGAGGGCGCAAAGAAGGTGAACCCAACGACCGCCGACATCTGAACAATTTTCCGAGATTGAGGAGGAGTAGGAGTAGAAGAGTAGAAATACCCTCTAAAACAGAAAAAGATGTACCCGATCTTTTCATTGCTCCATATCTGGATGGACACAATTCACAATAAGGCGGCTCATTGAATCCATAGATGCATGGCTCACAAAACCATGGCTCCATTGATGAAGACGACTGCGAGCTCTCGCTATCGTCACTCATGTCCAGTGAGGGGTAGCACGAGTCGTGTACAGTCAAGCCACATCTTAAGAAAATGTTCATATTACAAATTTGAAATTTAAAGTCGCGTTCGAATTCGAGTTTTTCTAATCAAAAATATCTCATGTAAGACTTGAAAATTTTTTAAGAACTTATTTGAAAAAAAGCTTCTTTTTTTGTTATAGACTCAGCATAACAGTTAGACTCACTTGTCGCATCGCATGACTTCTTCTGTTTTCGCGATATCGGAAAGATTCAAACATAAACAGCAAATCGGTGGATACTGGAACAACTTAACATAATTTGGCAAACAAAGAAGACGAAAACCTAGTCTTTCTTGTTTCAGAAAAGCATTTTTAGACAATTTTTACCTTTCTTAGTGCCTTTCTACATAAAAAAAGAGAAAATTAAAAAATAGCAAGGATAGATATCCATAAATAAGGAAATAGGAACGAGTAACAATAAATAAAATGTGAAAATCTACTCACATTCGCATTTTTCTCCGCCGACGATGAAGCCATTGCAAAGTCCTAAATAATACAAGAGTAGCCACCTCTATACTTCGAAATCTTATGACAGTTGACCTCGGCATGCATTTCTTGCTCGTGTTCCTGCTCATCTTCATCGTCATCGCTAGCGCTAGTCGAACCGTCGTCAGATCCGCTTTCACCGGATTCAGAGCCTTCTGTGGAATCGAGATCCTGTTCTGCTGAAACGGTCCAGAAATTGTTTATGATAAGGATGAGATTTACCGAAAAAATCTGGATCTTGGAGCAGGCGCGACTGGTGAACATTACTGTCTCTTCACTGCAGTGCGAAAAAAATACGAATAAACTTCTTCATAAGAAATATGGATAAGGACGTACATTCAGGGTTAGGCTACATTTCAATCACAGTGAAATAGAACGGAGAAAACCAGAAAGCCTTTACCTATGAAATCTTCATCGTCTTCTTCATCATCAGCAGTGGGCAAGACCAAATCGAGCACGGCTGCCGTCGGCTTGATTTGACGCTTTCCAGGAGCACGACAACCTAGGAAGAAGCTGTGAACGCGAAAAATAACTGTTAAGTTGCAAAATAACAATTTTTTCTGGTGAATTCCCAGATTACCAATAAGGTGTGCGAGACAAATATGCAGAAATTTAGAGGTCGGGTGACGCAGCTCGAGAATGTTTATCGTACCGTTATTAGAAAACGCACTGTCAAGTACTTTATAGCCCAACACTAGTTCACATAACTAGTCTAATTACGTTATAGCTCAACATAAGCCTAATTAATCAAAGTTTTAGACAAAAGATTCACTCACGTCGATAAAACGCGGGGGAGAGCATAGTGGCGAGTTTGGTGCAACTTTACGTCACGTGATGTGGAGTGTGGGAACGACTCAAAGCTTGAGCGGAAACCAAAACTTGATTTGACTTGGTGTTCCTGTTAACTGCCGTTATTTCACCTCAGTCGTGTGATGCGAAGGTCGCACAAGGTTAGCCAGTTGGGAGCAATACTTCCGCTGGGTTGGGTCTAATTCATACATCTGCTTCCAAAGCACCGTGCTCTTTATTCCCCACACTACCGACGTAACGAACTTTTTAACAGGAATTACAGGGGCCCGGCTATGAGTGTGGTTCGAGCAAACAGTAGTAGTGCAACGCAATGACCATTCTAGCCTCGTACCCTGCCTCCTTGCCCCAAGTCTGCGCCGCATATGAGAAGGGATTGCGAAGTGAACACTCAAATGAGGTTTGTCAAGGAAGGAAATATGTCCATCCGTGAGCTTCTCCGCTATTCGTTTCGCTAACCCTTTTTACTTTCACGAGGCCACTGTAGAAACTGAGTTCATGTGTTGACTTTTCTTTCCTGTGAAAGATTGATCAAAAGCCATGGATTTGCTGCATTTCTGCTCTGAACACGACTAAAAGGTACAGTTCACGAAAATTCTGAGGTACCCTAAGTGGAAGTGTCTTAGAAGAGTACATTAGTGGCAAAGGAAGCGAGAAAACCCATCTACTTCAAGGCTCTTTGAAAGTAGTCGAAGTGGAGGTTGTGCGAGATCATCGTGACGGTAATGGCATGTGAGGGGTGTTTGGACGAGATTTTACATACTATCATCGCTCAAAAAGATGATTACATCAAGCCGAAATTGTCCGAAACTACCTTTCACTTTCGCCACGGGTTATGACAAGTTGTTTGAACTTCCCACATGGGAGTCTTGAGGTAGTGCAGAACCACCAAAGCCGTTGAAACTCGTCCACGATAGGTGTGGCATTCACACGATACAATCTCTGGCCCCTTACTGTGCCCCATCCATGACGTTTTTCGACCTTATAACGCAGGTATGGCGCAATGGGGAGCTTCAAATTCATGCTACAGGGAAATCTCGAAACCATTTTTATCGTGAGTTGTGTCTTTAAGTGCCCATAAACTTACCCTTGGGATGGTGGGATTCCCAAAAAAAAAAAAATGAATTTTTTTCTTTGTTAACCTTTTTAGCGACTAGCACCCCATATATCTTTAAAATCTTGGGTCAGTAAAATCGGTTTGACGTACATGGGGCGTTAAAATAACCCAAAGGTGGTTAAAAATCATTTCCTGGGGTGTAGACGATTGGAATCATATGAATTGATTATGCCTCAATGAGCAATCATAAGCACAATAGTCCCC